ACGGACCGATCTTCGCACCGTAAGCCATGCTGCTAATGCTGTATTTCTCTGCGTGCAGCCTGACACCTAACAGGACAAGCTCGCCGTACCGTAAAGCTCAACTTCCGCTGATGACTTTCAAAATAAAATCCAAGAACGGAGAGCGAAACGTCTGGCGTCGTGTCGTGGAGAAATATGTAGCTAGGCAGCATAGACAAGCTTCGAAGATATTTAGGACATCATGCAAGTCTGTGTTTTATGCTAAGAAGAATCTAGATAAACGTGTGACTGTCTTTAAGACATATGTCTTTTCATTTGTGATATTCTTCCCGTCGATATATATCTTCAAAGTATGTATTATTGCATTTTTATGCTTAAACAAGCTAAAGGCAACTATCCGAATTTTAATAAAGTACTAAAATTATGAATGAATAAAGACGTATTTTTTAACATCTTAACTTTTTTCAAAAACTTTCCTGTTTTGCTCTAAGTGTCAGTGGGTAGTTTGATAACTTTCTCTCACGTTTTGTTGTCACACTTCCGCCTTCAGGTTAAGACAATGTGTGCATTTGGACACTAGATGGCGCAGAGCTCATAGCAACGAGCTCCTACATCTATTAGTGGTTTTTATCTGAACAGCAGAAGGCTGATTGGGAAAAAGAAAGATCACAAAGCCTCTTAAAAAAAGAAGAAGAAAAAAATGGTTGAAAAAAAAAAACTATAATAGTTATTTCCAGCACAATGTAATAAGTAGGTGCAACAATTTCTAGCAAATCTTTTTTTTGGGGGGGGGGGGTTGGTATAGTTTTAGAGCAAGGCAAATCCATTTCCTGAGACATCACAACAGATAATTATGCAAACACAAAATAGTAAATGGGCTGCACTTAGATAGCTCTGTTCTACTCGATTTGTACACTCAAATTGCTTTCTGACTGCAAGCCTCATTCACTCATTCCTCACACATATGCAATACAAACACTTTTTCTATGCCTGAGTGCTTTGCCTAACATTCACACAGACTCGCATAGATGCATTGGTGGCAACTCGAGGTTCAGTATCTCGCCTAAGGATACTTAAACACGCAGACTAGGGGAGCCAAGGATCAAACCAACGGCCTTCCAATTAGTAGACGGCCTACTCTACCTCCCGATCTGCAGCTACCTCAGTCGCTTTAAGTAATTGGATGCTGCTGTAAAAAGTAATTGGATGCAGTAAATAGTGTAAAAAGGCCTGAAATTGTTAAGTTGTTTGTAACCTTTCTGAATTCTAATTGTTTAGCATGCTTTCTGCTCCTGTCTTTTTCTCTGCAATTGACCATTGCTTTATGGTTGAATCTCTCTTAGATTTAACAAGTTTATTCTTATGATCTCTCTCTGTCATAAATATATGTTAGCGTGACTCAATCGCTAGTTTGAAGGCATTAATATAAGTCTGTCTGTGAAGAAAAGTTTGATTGAGTATTACTGAAAAAGGCTGGCTTCCAAGTAAATGAAACACCCCCCCCCCCCCCCCAAAAAAAAACAAAAACAAAAAAACCCCAAATACATGTATGTCTCCTAAAAACCTGACACCTGCATAGAAAACTTAAGTCTCCAATAATGTGTTTACATGTTACATCACATTTGGTATGCCCCTATTCATGGTTAGTTGGCACAAGTTGGTATAGAAGCTTAAATGAGTTATAATTCATCTCAGTTAACTTTTAGCTCCCTATTGTGTGATTTGTTTGTCGCTTTCACCGTTCTGGATGCAGTCCCCTAAAATAGTTTGAATATTTTTCCAGATGACTGAGTAAGCTGCTGTAATTTATAACGAGCAGAAAGCTGAGCTGAGCCTCTCTGCAGCACTCTGGAAGCCACAAGAGTTGTGCTGTTATACCCAGATAGGCTCAACAGAATTTGACATTTAGGAGTTCTGGCCAAGTTTTTGCATTACCACTGCAGTAATGGAAATACTAGAGGCATGGCTTATCCTGATTGACATGCGGTCATGATACACACAGATTCTAAGAAGGGCTCAGGCAGGATACGTTTGTGCCGCAGAGAAGCTGGGGGCCTCAAGAAACTGAAGAAGGCATCACAAAAATGAAGCTTTGAGGTTTGAAAACCATATAATGGGCTGGTGCAGTTGTTGAAAGGGGCGTTTTATTGGTCGGCTCATACAACAGTCCTTCACAGTTTTTCTCTGTGCAAAGTGTCTCACTCTCTCGAGCCGTTCTGATGAGAGAGGTGATTCACTGCAGCTCGTTAAGTGATTTAGAAAAAATTTAAATTTAGGAGTGCTTGAAAAGTCTCTTTCTACTTGGGTCACACTCAAGGTCAAACCACTGCCGGCAAGCCCAGTTGATGAATTTGTGTTTTAGGTTGAAGAGGCAGTCATTCTTTTTCCTGCAGCTGACCAAAACACAAAATGAAAGAAAAGCATTCTTACTTTTAAACAGCTTTAACACCATGCACATACTTTCAGGCAACCATAAGCCTCTGTTTACTGGGGACACACACCTTTTTATGGTTAAGAGGAGGAGGGACTGCTGAGGAATGTGACTTGCAGTCATTTGTCGGATGTTTTCAAGCTGTACTTGTTCATTCTTGACGTATTCTTAAAAACAAAACAAAAAAAATTGAAAAATCAGCTTTGTATCAGCCGCATAATGTCACATATTATCACATGCATATCAGTGATTATGCACTACATATAATGCAATTTCTCAATAAGTATTTTGAGAAATAATATTATTTTCCCAACACATACCATGTTCATGTTGTCATATTGTCAAGTTTTTAAGATACATTGTAGTCATCTACAAAGCATGAATGAAGCCATGAGCCATGTTTGTTTGCTTATAATACCACGCCATCTCATCTTACCTACTTAACACTAAAGTGAGAGGGTGGACCTCTCCACAGACTTCAAAGCACAATTTATTTCAGAGTCTATTTGGATGACTGAAAATCCTCAAATGCCCGTTTGTGGCCTCCTCTATATTTTCTACTTCTTCATGGTGAGTGATCTCAACGAGCTAGTGGATGAAAGTTCCCTTGTTATATGCGTTCCTGCATCTCACTTGCCTGTGAAGACTGTTAAAAAATGTCTTTTCAGCAGCACATCAGGACAATTAGGAGCTGATGTGGATAAAAGCTGAAGACTAATCAATTCCATTCCCTGGTCTAGTGAGTCAGTGTGTGTCCGTCATATTTATAGTTGCCATTTTAAGAAATTTCGTGGTTGGACAGTTACAGGAATTAATGTTCTTTGTTTTTCCCAGTAAACTTGCCTAACATCGGCATTCAAGGTGTCAACACTTTTTCAGTAAGTTGGCATGCGGCTTCATTGGCAGCAGTAATAACGATACGTCCCTGCAGATTAGGACTCTGGTGTTGAGGTTGCTAATTAACTGGCACCCAGCAGTGTGTGTTCCCGAGCATGTCTGAACGTGTTTAAAGAGCTTAACAGTCTTCTGAGGTAAATCATGTACCAGAATTAATTATATACAGTAGCAAATCAGAGGCAACCTCAGCTAATGCCATCATACTGGTAACACAACATAATAGAGACAGCCTATCCTATAACAATTAATCATCTGCAGGAGGGATGGTGTGTTCATAAAAGAAAAAAAAGTCCCTCTGTTTGTGTTTTAAGTACTCTTCCAGATATCGTATGCACATGCACATTCAGCAGCACATATGCATGTTTACGCATAAGCTGGGTTTGTGACCCTTAACCCTCCACAATTAAAACCAGGAACACAAATGGTGACCATGCTGCTCAGTGTTTTATCGTTTTTCCTGTTCTGTTGTTGATTATTAAGAACTTGGTGCAACTCCAAACCTTTTATGTATTATCTTGATTGTAACCTTCCTCCTTCTTCTCGCTAGGAGTTGAACTCTAAAAGCCTGAACAAACAAACAGGAATTACCCTTTTTGTGATGGTCAGAAGGACAGTGTGGAACATATCTTTTTAGCCTCTCCCTTCCTTGGCTTTATGTCATCGTGGTCAGGGTCCATAAGTGGAAAGGGAAGGGTGGGGTGGGCGCTACCTCCCTCGGCTAGGTTAATGCTCCTGATCAACTTTGTTTCCTTCTTTTGTGTATGTATCTTAAGTTTAGACACGTTACAAGGATGCTATATGTGACATGTGGGCAAAGGTACATTAGAAAAGCAGTATATCAGACAAAAACAGCTTGAGTAATTCTAACAAGCTTCAAAGTCAATATTTGGTAAGACCACCTTCATTCTGCAACACAGCCTGAGCTCTCTTAGGCAGGTTTCTTCTCATTTCTTTTTTTTTTATTTGCCTGTCCCGTTTGGTTCTTTTGCCATCAGAATTATGGATGAGGAAAAGAAAAGGGAGAAAGGAAGAGGGGGAAAAAACAGCGGAGAAGAGGGACAGGGATAAAGGGCAAAAAACCAAAAACCAACTACAGTAAATAAGCAGACCAAAAAATACATATATCAATCACCTGGATCACCTGTTGAGAAAGAAAAAAGAAAACAAGCAGAAGAAAAAGAGAGCAATACAATAAACAACATCACGATGATATATGGGAATATAACAGTAAATACTAAATATTAAACATTATTGTGCAGCACGTAATATCGACAGCGCACAGTGTGCTTTGAGGTAGGAGCCAAAAAGGGTGTAGTTTGTGTGTGTGAGCACCCGTGTGTACACCTGTGAGCATGGACGCGCTTGTTTTTAAAAGGTTCCTTCATGTAATGATCTGCTAGAGGGTGTGGGGGGGCCACAGCCCCGTCCTCCAGGGCATGAAGCAGGTATGGAGGAGATCAAAACTCCAGACATCCAGAGGCCCCCAGAACACAAGAGACCAAGGAAGACCAACAGAGGGGCAGCCGCCCACTGTCCCAGAAAGAGCTGAGGAGAGTCCCCAGATGAGGGGTCACTCAGCAGCCGCGGAGCAGAAGCCAGGGGGGGTTGCAGTGACGTGCCCGTGAGCTCCGCCGGCAGCCAGCTGTGCCAGAGTGACCGAGCCCCAGGCCGAGAGGCAGAGGGCACCCCACCCTCGAAGTCTTCTCATTTCTTTAAGCTGTCTTCAGGAATAGTTCTCCTTTCAAAGCTCTTGTCTTGATGTATGCTGAGTCAACCAGGTAAGGAAATCCCAAAAAGTTCATTTTGTTCATCTGGACATAGCATTTCATCACCCATCCAAGTGATAAATCAACTTTTTGGATCTTTTGTTCTATTTTCTGTCAAGATGATCTCACACTGCTTCAGTAATTTTGAAGTCTGTGCTCTGGGGACGCCTATCCATGGCTGGCGGTGTTCCATTGTGTGTTTTTCTGTCCAGGTATGCTTTTATTGCATCAGTGCAGTGTGTTTGGGATCGTTGTAATGCTGAAAAGCAAAACTTTTACCAATCAGATGATTTCCAGTTGGTATTAAGTGGTGGAAATGCTGATGGTATTCTTCTGCATTCAAAATTTCATCCATTTTGACAAGAGCCCCAAAATGACTGGCTGAAAATCACAGCAGTGATTTTGCAGACGGCTGTAGACACTCACTGTCATACATGTCTTCTCACATCCTGTTATATAATAACAAAGATTCAAACAAAAGGATTAATCACTACATAAGACCTGTTGCCACAGATTCTCAGTCCAGTTGTTGTGCATTTTGGCATACCTCAGCCTTTTCTCCCTTTTTCCCTTCAGTAAGACTGACTTCTTGACAGCCACCCTTCCACTGAGACCATTTTAAACTATGTCTTTGGCCTTCAAATTATGTGTTTGTGCAACAGGCTATTGTAAACAAAGAGCCTAAAGATACAATTTAAAATTGGCTCTTTGCTAATAATAAGTCTGTTATTGTAGACATAACACTGGTTCCCTTGAGTTTGGTGCCTTTTTATGCTTGAATGATTCATAGGTCAGTGTTAAGTGGCTTAACAAACAAAAACATTCATTTGAAAATGGTCAGGTACAAAGACCGGACTGAAAATAGTGAAAAAGCAGCCAATATTAGAAGCTCAAGACCACTTTAAAAATGACCAAAAAGTCTGGCTCCTTGGGAAAAAAAAAAGAAAAACAGAAATGAGGGGTGTGAACAGGATTTTATTTAAACAGCATCACCCGGCATACGTCATGGTTTGTATTCTTTAACATGACCTTGGCATGTGTGCCCTGACCACAGCACACTTCCTAGCACTAGTGGCAAGCATAAAACAGTAATTGCCTGTGAAAACCCCCTCTAGGGAGAAATGCAATCTTCCATGAGTCGTAATTTAGTGCTTCATGCTGGACTTGTCACTTCAAAAGACCAGAAGTGGGAGCATATTTTTTAAAAATAATAGCATGGGGTTATAGGAGAATAAAAACACATTTATAAAGAATTTTTTTGGTGATTTAATATCAGTAGCCCACAGAGAGGTTAATCTAAGCAAAGATCACCTCCTGACTTCATAAAAAAATGTAATCCACCTGATTTAATCTTTCATATTTGAAGTCTGGATGCAACAAAACACTGCCAAGTTTAATATTTTCCCTCAGTGTGTGCCTGCAGAGTGCAGGGGTTTGGTTTATGAAAACTGTAAATCCACTTCTAATAATAATGCTTTCCAAGATCAGTCCTATACTATATGAGCATTCCTTTCTTCTTCTAAAAAGGTACACGGTCCTGAATTTAGTGTGCCAACTTGTCCTCCAGTTCTTCATAAAGCAACTTGTTTTTGTATCCATATTCTGCCTAAACTGTGAATTGTGACTATTTTCTCCTCTGTTGGAAACAGATTAAATGTTAAAAGGAACATCAGCTGCTAAGCATGACTCAGCTGTGGAGAAAACTCTTTGGCACTGAGCGTCCATTTCCTTTGGACAAAATAAGCTTATTGCGAAAAATATTTGAGAACCATCACTATCGCATGATTTAAGTGGGAGGATGGATTCTGACCCCATCTGGTGCCTTGAACAGCTGCTGGACCCACTGTGGAGCGTGCTAAAGAGCCAAGCAGTTTAGACAAATTCGCCCAAATCCTTTTTTCTCAGCGAGGAGCAATTTAGGGATTTCAACTGCAGCACAGGGAAAGGTAAGAAAAAAGAGTGAATATATATATATATATATATGCAGTTATGTGTGTGTGTACAAGTTCAACCACTTGTTCACATCTTACGCGGACGCAGACGCTAACTGTCTGTGACATTTTCTCTTCCTGTCGTTCAGGTCAAATGCTCTCCTGACAGGATTTTGACTAGGATGGCTCTCCAGGGAGGAGAGCAGTAAGTGAACTATGTCAAACTGCCTAAAACAATCATTTGTGAATTTTACTACTTTAGTGGTGGAAAAAAGAGCAAAAAATATAAAAAGTTTTTAAACCAAAAACTATAGGAAGCGGAGTAAATTTTAAGACTTCAAGATTTTATTTTGTAATATTTGGGAACAATTTATACATTAAAAAAATATAACACATTAAAACATAGTGTGGATCTGAAGTGGTTTAAACTGGGCCTAGAAATCAGTATAATTACCTCAACATAAAACTATAAAAACTATGACTAATATAACCAACTATAACCACTGTCTCCACTGCCAGCTCTTAGGCAAGCTTTCTTGTGAATTCTCTCCGTAGTCTTTGGGGAAAGTTCTCCAGCCTTCTTGATGGACGTTCCAAAACTCATCTTTGGATGTTGGCTGCTGTTCAAGCTGTTTTGAGAAAATTTCGATCCGGGCTCTAGGGAGGCCGATCCATGACTGATAATGTTTCATTGTGTGCTTTTTCTACCCAGATGTGCTTTTACTACCCTGGCAGTGTGTCTGTAATGCTGTAAATTAAGCTGTTGCCAATCAGAGTCTTTCCAGATGGTATATCATGGTGGATCAAAATCTGATGATACTTTTCTTGGTTCCAAATTTCATTAATTTTGACAATTTCCATCATGTTTTACAGATGGCTGTAGACGCTCGTTGTGGCACCGGTCTCCTGCTCCTCCTCCAAACATAGTGACAATGATTTGAACAGAAAATTTCACATTTGAATTGATCTCTCGGTAAGACCTGTTGCCACTGATTTTCAGTTCAGTTCTTGTGTAGTTTGGCATACCTCAGCCTTTTTTCCTTCCTTCTCTTTTTTAAGACAGCATCTTGACAGCCACTGGAGATGGGTCAGTTGAAGGGCCAGATACATCTTTCAGGTCCTGTTTCAGGTTTTTGCTGGATTTTTTTTCTTTTTCTGAAAGTCATGGCTTTCACAAAGTAACTATCTACTGTAGTTACTTTTTTTTAGACCTGACTTCTTGGTTTGTTTTTTTTTTACTTTACTTGTCCAGTTTCTTAAAATTGTTGAAGGACACATCATATATATATGCCAAGTGCAGCTAACAGCTCTTTGGAAATCACCTTGTTGATGGAAAAATGCTATTTTATAGCAATGTGTTATCTTTGGCATTTTTCATAGATTCAACTAAAGAAATGAGAACAAATTATATGCTTTTATGAAAGACTGTTTGTAACAAAGATATAATTTAAAGTTGTCTGTTATGTGTAGACAACACTGGTTCATCCTTTGAATTAGGTGCCTGTTTTTTTTTCTTGCATGATTCATAGGTTAGTGAAAACATTCCTTTAAATCCTAAAGGTACAAACACTGGACTGAAAATGAGTGTTGCAGCCAGTGTTGGACACTTATTGCTCAAGACCACTTTAAAAAAAAAATAGCAAGAGCATCTGGTTATAAAGAAGAGTTGGTTCAAAGGCTTTTCCACAGTACTGTACATAAGCAAAAATAAACGTATCCATATGCAGAAGCCAGAAAACTAAAGGTAAAATCCAATAAGCCTCTCAAAGTCACCAACTTAAGTAGGTGATAATATATTTATCTCTTCTAATATTAGTGTACTTTTTACTTATGACTCATCTAACACTGATAATTTCACTTAATGTCAGGATCTTTCTGATGTACCTAATGCTTATCCCTTTCAGTCACTGACACTTAATGCCAGGTTGCAAAGTAAAACATTCAAGCCTTTCTCTCCAGATTCACCACAGTTTATTAATCCTATCTTTAGTCAGTTAATCTCATTGAGATCAATACCTCTTTTGTATGAAAGATCATATTTAACAGTCACACAGGGCAAAGAACAGACAGATCCTTTCTCAAACCTTTAGGTCTTAATGTTTCATAGAGCAAGTAAGTAAACGGAATGAAACCCTACCGCTGTCTCTCTCTGTACATTCAGCTGAGAGGGAAAGTCCAAAGTAATTACACAAAATGTATGATAATAAGTCTCCAGATACACTTCATCAACAATGATCCTTGTCAGTGTAACAACATGGATTTCTGAGTCTTCAGCTTGGCATTGTAACAGCCAAGCACCATTATCAGGGGAAATTGCTTTACGTTCCATTAGAAAAGAAGAGGGCTATGTGAATGGCTCTATGGACTCACACACACACACATTCACATCCTGACAGAGTGTTGTCCCACTGTCCAATTAACCTCACACAGGGAACGGACGGAAGTGAGAGCAGGAGCGTGATGGGTCAGGACCTCCTGTAGGCACACAGACCTTTAAGAGCACTTCACTGACGTTTCCACAATCCCTGTGTTTTCATTCAGCCTCTAGATATCCTTTCAGACATTTTTTCCCCTTCTTTTATTCATTTTTTTCCTGCTGCTGGTTGGCAGCATAAAAGGCTAATATTGACTTTACTGACATATCTTTGTTTGGCATGGGAACGCTTGAGGCTTTGGCTGCTGCTGGCCTCTTTGAGTGGCTTACCAGAGAGGCCTGGCAGAAAGCCAGCATGTATAGCAGCTAATAATGGACTCTGCTACACTGTTCTGCTCATCACATGAGAGAAAAGTGAGGAGAAAGAAACAGCTATATTTGAACAGGACAGGAAACTGTAATTTGGATTATTGCATGTGCTCAGCACTGCGACAAAAGTGAATAATGTTGTACACATTGCTATCCATAAAAGCCAAATAATAAAAAAAAAAAATATATATATATATATTTAAAAGCATTTGGCTTCCTAAAGGCTGCTCCGAGCAAACACTAGAGAACAGCTTCTTAGGGGAAAGTGCTTTATCTTCTTATTCTGCCAGGAAACATGCCACGACACTGAGAAAGTAGAAAAATATGTCTTGAAATTGAAGAGCAAGGATCAACGGGCACTATTCCAACAGGTTTCATGAGCAGCTTCATCAACAGAAACGGAGGCACGAAAGGGAGTTCCACAAATCCACATGAGCCTTGACAAATAGTTTTTTTCACTAATGCAGAAACTATCTGAGAGACAAATAGAAACACAGGCAGTTTTGAAGAAGATCCACCCAGCAATGAAATTCAACAATGTAACAAATCAAGGCTGTTTTTCAGGCTGTGACTGGGTGTTCCCTCTCTGTGTTATATAAAGTCTACCACTGGAAAATGAAAGCTGTTCATTGGGTTCATCAGAGTGGTTTTTCCTTCAGTTAAATAACCAGTCCTGTGGGTAACTGTTTAATTAACTTATTTTTATCGCAGAAACATGAATCATTACAGTTTGCCTTCCAAACCAATAAACTGCAAGTTTTAAATTTCTGTGGAAATTGACTATAATATTGTTCAAAAATACTGTCAGAAATGTCAGTGGATTTCAAATAAACAATGCACTTTGGTTTTCTTGCTGAGCACCGAGGCGATGAACACAAAGGACCGACAAAGCACCAAAGCTGTAGCTGCCTGCTGCTAATGACTGGCTGCGGTTTTCCTTTGATTTGGCTCCAGCTGAGCTGCTGCAGGTTATGAAGGTCATAAATATCAAGCTGCAGCCACGGGGCAAATAGCCCGTGGACATGAGGAAACGGCTAGCTCATCTTTGTCTGGAGGCAAAATCCCATCCATTGAGCAAAAGATGTGAAAATATTCTTTCAATCTATAATTTATAAGCTGCTAAATATAAAAACAGTGTATAAGAGGCCCTGCTTCAAAACGGAGAGCTGGTTAGACATCTAAAAAGGCAACGTGAAAGAGATTCAAAGGTTAAAATTCATGCCTTAGGATGCGTTGTAGCTTTGAAAACTGTTGTTTGAGGCCCTCATCAAAGTTGCATGCTTACGTGTCCTTTAGCAAGATACTGAGCTCCAGAAATGTGTGACAGGAAAAGAACCATATTTGTATAAATCCTTGTGTGGGTCAAATGTATAATGTACTGTAAATGCAGGCTGTTTACCTAAAAGAAAAAAAGTAAGTGCAACAGAAAATGCAGCACTAATACTGTATTCAGTCCTCATTTGAACTTGGACAACTAGATTCCTCATGGAATTAATTTGATCCAAACAAATACTCGTTTGTTTTGGGAAAATGTTTGTTTGCTCGCTTATGGGGATAGCGTAGCATTTTAATTTGCTTTCTTGTTGTATGTTAACATAATCAAAGATGCGATAAGAGACCACACACGTTCTGTGGTGGTTTCCTAAAGACTTGTTGGCTGTAAACAAACAACAGATTTATTCAAATTTAAGTCTTTACTGTTCCTACATTTAGTGTCCTTTGCTGTTCAGTAACAAATCGGAACAAACAGAAACGGCAGCAGTAACAACCACAGGGCTGTCGGGAACAACCTGAGTTTATCTTGCACCCTATCTGCAGTTGTCTTGACAGTCGAGTGAATTTTAGTTGTGCATTCCTGTGGTATTAAGGCACTCACGGATCCCTGGCAGGAATTTCCCTCAGCCTTCTCTTCTGTTTTTTTCTGCTGTGTCCCTGCCCTGCCTGTGGAGGTGAGAGAAAGTTCATCCACATAAAATCTGAAATCTGAAAGAGCATCTTTAATTTTCATATCCAGTGTTCTACTTCCTGGGTGTGTATGTATGAAATGCTGTATGTATGCGAGTGCGTGTGTGTGTGTGTGTGTGTATGTGTTTAACAAAACCATAAAGAAACAGGATAACTGTTCTATGGTATTGACCAACGGGAGTATTGGTTTACTTCCAGACAAAGGATACAAGAAACCTGTGAATAACATTTTCATAAAACACCAGAAAAACAAGAGTTGATTCATGTCATCGCCTTGGCAGCACCTCTGTGTTCCGCAGTGGATTCTTTTGTTATTTTTCTACCAAAGATGAGCTCGCCATCAGGGGCCAATTTTCAGCTTTCTCTCCAGAGCTGTCTTCAAGCCATGTTCCCCAGATGATTTATGGGTAAATGTAGACCACAATCAACATCACCTTGACTCTGTAAAGATGTGTGAAATTTTCCATGATGGGCTGATATTTTCAGAAACGGCAAAGATCAGGAAAATGGAGACACGGGTGCGACGATTGGTTTCCTGCTGCGTCCTTCCTGAGATGAGGTGGTAGGCTATCAAGTCCAGATGTTTTTCCAGGTTACAGTGGACACTGTGATACATTCCCTCTGTGCATGACATCTTTCCTTCCATGTGTAGTGCAGCTGCAAACTTCATGGAAATGACGAATTAAATGACTTCACTCGTAAAAGCCTTTTGTTATCGGCTAATGCTCGCGCTGGTTTAGCATGTTTGGGAGCTCAATTTGACATTAAATGAGATGCTAGTTTTGGCTTAAAATGAAATGTAGCTTCTTCTGCCAAAACTGAACAGCAGCTAACTCCTCTGAATTCGTTTTAGTGCAAACAAATGCTAAACTAGAAGAATGGGCAGCCACCTGTAACTCAAACCTGCCACATTCCTACTGTTATAGCTTTTGAGGAAGGTACTGCCCACTGTTGCCTCTCATGCATAACAACAGAAAAGAATTGAGTCACACTTCCTGAAGCTTTTACACATCAGATGTGTGAAATTTGCACCAATGACCGGGTGATTTTCCTGGACGACTTTTCTGATGCGAATAAACAGATCTTACCAATCAGCCCACTGCATTTTGCACCAAGTGCAGCTCAAACCACCAGCAATACCCACAAACAGTAAAATAGTACTATTTTATTCTAGACACAGAGCTGGTCACTGCTTAAGGTCAGTTGGCTCTCTGGATTTAAGTGTTTTCAGTCGTATGACCACGAGTGTGTATAATATCCAAGGAGTCTGCCTTTACAAAAGGGCCATTTAAAAGGACACTGAATTTAATCATGGTGCTGTAATGTAAAGTCAAGAGAGCAGGGTCACGAGTGCTGGGGCGCAAAGTGCGTAAACCTGCCGAACCTCCTCTCGCACTGACATTAGCACAAAATGTAGTTGGCCCAGTACTTTTTTTGACTGTAGACGTTTGTTTTTTGGGGTTTTTTTACCGGATGAAAATCATCATTATCTTTGCAACATGCACAGAGGGACAAGGTGTTTATGGAAAAAAACAGT